ATTACTTTGGGATTCCAGATACTTCAGATTAGTCTTGTCCATGATCCTGAGCATGATGTTCTCTGCCTGAGGGCACATGGATTGAGTCCCCCTGAGGCACATAGGTTGAATTTGGGTGCTCAGAATAGAAGATGTGGAAGCCAATTAGGTTCCGCCCCGGAGACTTGGTTTGTGAGCATTCTTCCTAACAGAGCACGTGGCCAGATCTGAAGACAAAAATAAAAGTGAGGTACTTTTGCACTGGGTTTGCAGTAGAAGATGGACTCACTTGTGACCACCATGAGCAACAGAAACTAGCCCCAGGTTTCATATGGTTTCAGAAGAGAACCCTGGCTCACGGTAGGAAGGCTGCCAAGGAATACGCTGGGAATATCCAGGAGAGCCTGGATATCAAGTGTCTGTCTCGCCGGGCTCCGGTAACTGCCATGCCAGGGACCAGGAATGGCTCCAGACTTCCTTACTTGCCACTGTGGCTTTTCCGGTTGGCAAAGGTGAAGCCGGAAGAAGAAAGGGAGTGCCATGTTCTTGTGGATGTGAGCACTTTCCTTCCACTGTGCTCAGACTCGGGGACCCAGACCCAGTCTCCGGACAGGACATCGGGATTCCTGAGCGTGCTGGATGCTCTTGCTCCTCCAGACGTACTTCCTGTGCTTTCACCCTGCCCTTTGCCCTGCCAGGCTGGCCTTTATGGACTGCATTCGCGGGCTCCCTCATGCCATGGGTTCAGCGTCTATCAGCGTCTATCAGGTGGCCCTGATAGGTAAATGAGATCACCTTTGAAAAGAGTCCCTTCTTTATCTCTCTTCATTCCCCCTGTGAGAATGCCATCTGTTTCCTAACAGGACCCTAGCTGGCATGCTGAGTTTTCTTTTACTGTCCTTTGACCCTGGAGTCAACCTCACTCACTGTACAAATACAGTATCTACAACGTGCCAGGTCTGAGCTACACACCAGGGATGCGGGGATGAAAGACAGAGGTTAAAGTCAGTCAACACCAGGGCTGATGATGGCTGCCTTGGAGGCCAGTGCCGGGCGGGGGCATAGCCTGGGAAGGAAATGATCAAGGCGGCACCACAGAGTCAAAGACAGTGAGGCAAAGATGGGGGGACGGGCGGAAAGGTTCCAAGCAGAGGCAGCCTGCAGAGACGTGGGAGGGAGCTTCGGGCCGCTGGGCTTTGCCAGGGAGCGATGAGAGTCCCAGGTACCACTGCAGCCACCGAAGATGTAACAGGAGCCAACCTGAGGGAGCCCTCCTGGCGGACGTGGACATGACAGTGAATGCTCAGATTTCCATGGTGGAAAGGTCCTTTTGGCGGAGACCGACAGATTGGAGGAAGCAAATTTGGGAGCCGGGAGGCCAGTAAGGGTCTCCTGCAGGAATTGGGGGGAACCATAAGGACCACAAAAGGGGGAGTGGAGTGCGGGTGAGAGATGAAGCAGCTGTTCTGGAAGGGGACTCGCTGGTGTGGGCGGGGACAGGGGCAGCCAGAGAAAGAAGTCCCGGTCTGGCAAGGCTGTCAGATGTCAGGCCGCATCATTTAGGTGGACCTCGCTGGCGTTCCCGTGATAAAGGAGGCAAGAAACCTGGGTGCACAGTGTGTTCGGCTTGGAGTTTGTTGAGCTGGAGGTACCAACAGGATAAGCAAATGAAAATGCCCGTGAGGGAACGGGATATAGATCTGAAGCTCCAAATAGTCTAGACCACAGTTAGGCACTTAGTAATCATTTTTAAGGACATTGGAGAGGGCCCCCTGGGTGGTTCAGTCGGTTAAGCATCTGACTCTTGATTTCAGTTCAGGTCTTGATCTCAGGGTTGTGAGTTCAAGCTCTACATTGGGCTCCACTCTGGGCCATGGAGCCTACTTTAAAAAAAAAAAAAAAAAGACATTGGAGAAATGGCACAGGCCAGGAGTCCAGACAAGCTTCCTGCTTCTGTGCTGTTTATTGAGAAGGAGCTCAGTGAGCAATAACTACAATGCCGAACGTTTCTCCTGCTCGGGCTACGTGCCAGACACCATACCAAGTATTTTATAACAAGTCCCTTTCCCTCCCTTGTGGTAATCCTCCCAGCAACCCTCGGAGGTGCTGACTAGCGAGATTCCCATTTTACAAATGCGAAACTAACCTCAGAGAAGTTAGGCGACCTGCCCAAGGCCACACAACTAGGAAATGTCATAACTCATGGTTGGATCCAGAGAGTCTGACTCCTGACCCTGGGCTTTTTCTTCATCACTTTACTGAATGAACACCTCCCTTACTCAGTCTACACCACAATTTTCTTTTTATTTCTTCATGTTGTTTGCCTCCAAGAACAGGGAGGCCATAAAGATAAGGCTAGAATTAACTACCCTCTTTCTACAGACCGTGAGTTCTCAAATCTGGATCTGTCCTAGCTTTGCCACCCCCTTGAATGCTGAGGCAAACACAGGGGGAAGGAGCCCTTCAGCTAGTGCTGACTTATCTCCTAACTCCACTCCAGGTGATTGGCATTTCAAGTCAAGTAAACAGCTGTGCAGAAAATCCAGGGTGGGTAGTGACTTGTGTGGTAAGAGATAAAGAGGCAAACCCGTGCCCACTACTCCCTGTTTACAGCACTGCCCTCGCCCCTCAGTGCTGCCTCCAGGATGAAGTCCATGTCCCCTCCACATCTGGTCTCCATCTGCCTCTCCAGCTGCACCCACCACTCCCTCCGCAAAGCAGAAAACCTAGCTGTGCAGAACTGCTCGCCATTCCGGAACTTACCAGCAAGGGTCAAGCTTCTGCCTTTTCCCCCAGTCTTTTACTATGAAAACTGTCAAACATACAGAAAGTTGGAGGGGAGTTTGCAGCGCAAACTCATATATCAGCCACTTAGACTCTACAACGAACATTTTACGAGATCTGCCTTATCCATCCCTTTCTCCGTTTTGTTTTTTATGCATTTCAAGGCAAGTTGTAGACATGTATACACTTCAGCACACATCTTATTAAGTAGAGTTCCATATTTGTTTTTGGTTCCTTGGTTTTGCCCTTTGAGATGGAATTAACCTACAAGGAAATGTACAAATCAGAGCTGTGTGTATTGGTTTTCTTGTTGCTGGAACAAATCCTCACACACTTAGTGTCTTAAAACAAAGGTATTCTCCTATAGAGAATTCTGGGGGTTAGAAGTCCAAAATCAGACTGGACCAAAGTCAAGGTGTGAGCAGTTCAATCCTCTGTAGGCTGTGAGCAGACAATTCTACTTCCTTGCCATCTTCATCTTCTAGAGCATTCCTTGGCTCGTGCCCCCTTCCTCCAATGGCTCCAACCTCTTGCTCTCAGAGCCCCATTTCCTCTGACCTCTTGCCTCCCTTTTCTGAGGACTCCATGGTTACACCTGGATGATTCAGGTTATACCTGGTTACACCTGGACAATCCCCCCCATCTCCGTGTCCTTAACTTAATCACAGCTGTGCTGTTCCTTTTGCTCCATAAAGTTATTTATTCACAGGTTCTGAGGATTAGGGTGCAGTCATCTCGGAGAGCCATTTTTCAGCCTAGCACATGCACCATTTAATGAGTTTTTCCAAACGCATACACCTGTGTAAGCCAACCCCCTGTCGAGACATGGAACATTCCCATCAGCCCCTGAAAGTTCCCTCATACCTCCTCCTGGCCAGTGCCCTCTCCCACTCCCACTGCCCAGAGGCAACCACTGTTCAGATGTTTGGCCCCTTTTAGAAACTCCTAGGAATGGAGGAGGAACGGTATTTTGTCCTTTCGTATCTGGCTCCTTTCACACGAACAACGTCACTGAGACTTACCCATATCAAAGGGGTCAGTACCACTCTGTTCCTTTTTATTACTGAGCAATCTTCTATCATATGAATTAACCACCATCGGTTTATGCATTCACCTGTTGATGGACTTCGAGCTGTTTCCACTTTTTTTGTCTGTCTGTACTTTTGGACCAGCTGCTGACCACGCTCCTTCAGCCCATAGCAGCCACCCGCCCCTGCATCGGCTCCTCTCACACGCAATCAGCCCCACATCCATTGGCCTCACAAAGACTGTCCTCCTTCTAGGCCCAGCATAAAAGGCTACCCCCTCGGGAGCACTTGGTAAACCCCTGCCCCACCCCCAGACCAGTGGACCGACCGTCCCTCCTCCGTACCCTGGGCACACTTCGGTCTCTGCCTCTGACCATGTGTGACCCTTACTTGTCTGCAGGCCCCTCTGTCCTCACTGAGGACCACATCCCCAAGAGCAGAGGCCAGAGCGTTTGTATTTGCACATGGAACGATGCCTTAGGTCTGTGTGATGGCCTCCGGTCAGTGACTATCCAGAGGGGGGTTCCAGGTTCTGGCTGCCTTGGTTGGAAACCAAAACCCTAAAGATCACGGATGCAGGGAGGGGTTCTCAAGGACAAAGCAGGTTGGACAGTGTCTCGTGAGACCGGGGGACACCGTGGAGCTCAAGCCCCTGGAACAGGAAGACCCTCTCGACATCCTGTGCCGTTGTCAGTGACAGCCTAAGGGCAAACCCAGGATAAAGCAGAATTGTGGCCCGTTTCCTGAGCAACAGAAAAACCCAGTGATTAGAGAAACTCTGGGAGATATTCTTGGCATGGGAACCCGTAAAGGGATTCGCCAACCTGATAACCAAAAGGCACAACGTAGCCAAGACCTTGCTTCTTGGGGTAAGTATCAGAGCCCCATAGCAGAGAAGCCTTTTCTACCCTGAGCGCTCGCAAATCTCCAAAGCCACGGAGGCCTACGGAAAACACTGGCTTATCAGCCCCTACAATTCTGGAAAAGCCTTGAATTGTGTCCAAAACAGAGGCAGCCTGCTAATAGACCCGAACCCACATTGGGCGGACCATTCAGCTCACGCACTGGGAAGTTAGCACTGTTCCTCGGGGGAACATGCTGGAGCTCCGGCCAAGTGGCACAAGTGGACTCCACCAGGCGTTCCTGCTGGTGCACCGTTAGACCCATACTGTTGAGGGGCCCTTCAGCTGCCTGCTCTGTCTGGTCCAGAATGGAGACCAGGAGCTTGAAAAGGAGGCCTCCCATGGATGGAATCTGGATTTGTCTGGGACAGATTCCGATGGCTTAAGATCAGAGATGAAGCACCTGTTGAAGTGCGAGAGTGTCTAATCCTACCTAAAAGAGCTAATTTTTCAGACTTGGGCCCTGCCTTCTAGGAAAAATTAGAATGCCGTTGAGATAGTAAGAGATATACTTGAATAAATGATACACTCAAACATTTGAAGAATTTTTTAAGTATGCATAAGCAAAGGCAGGAGCACGCGTACTAGCGCAGTGGGTCTTTTTGCTCACGCTCACCCTAACATAAACACAAAAGCTTCTTTCCAGAAACAAACTTGGAAGGGCTACTCATGCTGTTGAAGTGGGCTCAAGATAGGACCCTAGTACAGGACGGTGCCAGTTGCCCCTTATAGGGCTTGACACCACTTTGTCATAAGGAAGAAATGTTCTTCAGGGATGACTGCAGGTTCCAGAGACAGAGAGACCCAAGTGAAAATCTAGCTGTGTCTCGGCATGCTGCCTATCGGCAGGATCGTGTCTAGGATGAAATAAGGCCAATGCACATGGAGTCCCAACCACAGTGGTGCCTGGGCCTCTGTGAGTGGTGGGCATGCTAGCGGGTCCTCGCTCCTTAGTAAGACACAGAACTCCCCACACTAACTGTGGAGAAGAGCTGACCTGTGGCCTGCCTATCCCCTAAGGGCCACCTCCTTTAGGTTCCCTGCCTGCAAGGCCCACCTCCCTTCAACGAGAACACATGAACCCTTACCTCGCTTCCCCTTCACACAGCTCACTCAGGGAACCTTGTAAAACGAAACGGTGCCAGATCCTAGTGCGAAACAAAGAGAGGACAGGGACAGAACCTGGTGCACCAAGCGTGGGTGTCGATCCTGCAGAACCAGAGCCCGTGAAACCCCCTCCCATTCTGTTCTCTCTGAGCCCAGCACTACCACCACCACCCTCCCCGGCCCTAAGATATTGCCTAGCCGTCTGGCTGTCGGTCTGAGCTGCTTGCCTGGGCCTCATCCAGCCCCAGACTGGTGTGGAAATGTATGATAATATATCATCTTTCCACCTTTAGCAAAAAGCCAATAAGAATAGGGGCAATAGTCATGATTATAAAAGAAGTCTCTAAGCTGGAGAGGAAGCACCTGGGGCACAAGCTTGGTGGGCGAGGAGCCTGACAAATACTCCTGCCTTCCATGGTGCTGGTCACAGACCGGAGTGTGGGGTCTCAGGTTGCCCCCAGGGCTTCCTGCCCGGCCCGCTGCCTTCTGCCGTGCGGTGGGCTCAGCATCTTCTCCCTCAATCCTTCAGTCCCCAGGCTCAGCATCTTCTCCCTCAATCCTTCAGTCCCCAGCCCCCCTCTAGACTCACATGCCGTAACTTTGCAAGTGGGTGCTTTCTAGCCTGGCACCCCTTGCTTCAGCAAATGGGGAGTTGTTTAGGGGGAATGGGGCAAAAAGAGCAAAGCAGTCAAGGTAATGAATTGGAGCCAGCAAGGGTCAGCTCGGAAGCAGGCATCTGAGACTTTGGCCTCATTAGCTGTTCCCTGTTTGCCACTGCCACCCATCTGCCCCGAACATCTCCTCCTGCCCCCTGACCTGAGTCCCTCTGCAATTCAGCCTCACCCCTTAATCTTACCAACCCCGATCGTCTCCCTTCATTCCTGCACTGCACTCGCCTGGCTGCCCTCCAACCTGTCTCCCTGCCCTGCCCCTCTTTGGCCTTCTGAATCCAGGTTTAAACCTTGACCTTCTAAAGCCAGAACCAGCTCCATACATTGCACAACCCAGCATCAAGTGAAAATGCAGGGCCCATGTTCAAAAGTTAAGAATTTCAAAACAGTGCTAGTAGTAGGAGCGGAGGTAAAGTGCAGGGCCCTTCTGAGGGTGGGGCCCTGGAGGACCACACGGGTCCCATGTCCTTGAAGCCTGAGCTGGCTCACACCACTCTCTGCTGTCCTCGTCCTAAGGGGCCCGTGACATCTTATGAAGACTCCCCCCACAGTTGATCACCCCGTTCTCCATCCACGTGATCATCTCGATAGTAACCTGGCTGAGGGACTGGCTCAAACTAAAAAGCGTCTAGAAACCATCAACAAAATGAAAAGGCAACTTAGGGTGTGAGAGAAATTATTTGCAAATCATAAATCTAATAAGAGGTTAATATCCAAAATATACAGAGAACTCACACAACTCAGTAACAACAACAACAACAACAACAACAAATCCGATATAAAAATGAGCAGAGAGGCTCCTGGGTGGCCCAGTTGGTTAAGCGTCTGCCTTCGGCTCAGGTCACGATCTCAGAGTCCTGGAATCGAGCCCCGCATCGGGTTCCCCCTGCTCTGTGGGGAGCCTGCTTCTCCCTCTCCCACGCCCCCTGCTTGTGTTCCCTCTCTCGCTGTGTCTCTTTCTGTCAAATAAATAAAATCTTAAAAAAAAAAACCCACAATGAGATACCACTTTATACCTGTTAGAATGGCTGTCATCAAGAAGACAAGTGTTGGGAAGGACCCCTTGTGCACTGTTGGTGGTGATGTAAGTTGGTGCAGCCCCCATCATGGAAAACAGTATGGAGTTTCCTCAAAAAATTAAAAATACAACTACCTTATGATCCAGCAATCCCAATTCTGGGTATAAGTCCGAAGGTAATGAAATCAGGATCTTGAAGGTATATTTGCACCCCTATGTTTTTTTCACTATTATTCACGATAGCCAAGCTGTGGATACAACCCAAATATCCATCACCAGATGACTAGATAAAGAAGATGTGGTATGTGTGTGCAGGAGTATTTTTATATTCCATTGTGTTTGTGTATGTGTGTGTATACAATAGAATATTTTTCAGCCACAAGAAAGAAGGAAATCCTACCATTCGTGACAACATGGTTGGACCTTAAGACCATTACAGTCAGTGAAGTAAATCAGTCAGAGAAGGACAAATACTGTATGATCTCACTTATATGTGGAATCTAAAAAATCCAAACTCGTAGAAACAGAGAGTAGAATGGGGGTTGTCAGGGGCAGGGAGAATGGGGAGATGTTGGCTGGGGGTAAAAACTGCCAGTTAAAAGATGAATAAGTCCTGGGGATCTTGTGATTATAGATAACAATGCCGTACCTACAAGTATAGGTAGGTATATACCTATAAGTCACCAAGAGAGGAGATCTTAAATGTTCTCACCACAAAAAAGAAAAAGAAATGGTAGTTCTGTGATGTGATGTGGGTGCTTAGCTAAGGCTACAGTGGTCATCGGATTGTAATATTTAAGTGCATCAAATCAACACACTGTACATCTTAAGCTTACACAGTGCTGTATGTTAATTATATCTCCATAAAGCTGGGGAAAACAGTAACCTAGCTGAAACCTCACCATGTAGCATGTTTTCTTCTTAGACTGCCAACAGCAATTTATCAAAACTCTTCTGATATCTGGGTTTCTAATGTCTCTTCCATCACCCTGATGCACAAGATCCATCCATTCATTCACTCTGAAAACAAACAGGAGTGCCCATGGTGTGCCAGGCACTGTACTGGTTTCCGGTATATTTGAAGAACTGAGGATGCCTGCTTGAGTCCCTGACCTCAAGGAGCTGGTAGAGGAGGCGAGGCTGTGGCCGGACAGCCGGCAAAGTGGCAGCAGAACGCAGTGTGGGAGCGGGACCCCGCCCTGGAGGCAAAGAGAAGTCACAGCTGCCTGGAGAGCGTAGGACAGGTTGAGGGAGGGGCTGTGGTGCTGAGCCTGGGCTGCAGCAGCTGGGTAAGTGAAGGAGGAGAGAGAGGCTTTCAGGCGAGGGAACAAAGGGGCAGAGGCCAGGAGTCCCCCGCCCCCGCCACCACCAGCCTGGCATGGTTCCGTGGCTGGACTGCGGGGCCGGGAGGTGCCTGGGAGATCAGGGGTGTACCACGAACGAGACGATGTTCTCACAAAAGGTGGAAGACAGAGTGGGAGATCCAGGTGCGGGAGGGGGGAGGCTGTCCCCGCTTCCAGGTACAAATCAGGAGGGTTTAACACAGGCCAGCGGTTCTCTGCAGGAGGGCATTTTTGCCCCCCAGGAGAGACAGGCGCACCTGGGAGATGTTGCAGGTTCGGTGCCAGACCCCTGCAGGGAAGCTAATAGTCAATAAAGCGGGTCCAAGGAATGTTTTGCTTTCCCAGCGCGTGCGGCTGCGGGCTGCGGGCTGTGCAGTAGCATTACGTCCGCAACGACCACGTGCAGGCCTCGGTTGGAAGAGCCCTCCCTGCGAACATGCTGCCCGCCCCCCCGGAGCGTTCAGCGGGTCGGTCTTCCTGCGGGTGGAGGGTGTGGGCGCCGCCGCCGGCCGCGGAGCCCTCCGGGTGCTGGGCGCTGGAGGCTTCTTCAGACAACCGTGCGGTTCGCCGCCCCGACGGCTCGCCCGTCACTCCACCCCCCAGGACAGCTGCCTTCGGAATGGGAGTCGGCCCTCTCGGGCCCCGCCGCCGCCTCATCAGCTGAGCTGCTGTCATGTGCTGGAGCCTTCGTTCCCCCCCCACCCCCGCCCCCGGGAGGGGACTCGGGAAACCCCGTGCTTTGCTCGGCGGGTCCCGTTTGCTCCTGAGCTTGCGGCACGTCGGTCCCCGCTTCAGGCCGCGCTCCCCGTTCTGTT